GCCTCGCCATCATGGCGCTGGGTGCCCTCGCCGAGGACCCCGACATTGGGCTCAAGATTGTGCCGGTCGGCATGAACTACTTCCACGCGCATAAGTTCCGGTCGCGGGCTGTCATTGAGTTTGGCGCGCCGTACGAGATCCCGAAGCGCATCATCGACATGTATCGCAACAACCAGAGACGCGAGGCGATTGGCGAGCTCCTCGACACAACGCACCAGATTCTCAGCGCCGTCACCGTCTCGACACCCGACTACGACACGCTCATGCTCATTCAGGCGGCGCGGCGGCTCTACAACCCCACTGGCAAGAAGCTGCCGCTGCCGGTGGTTATTGAGCTCAACCGGCGACTGGCGCTGGGCTACGAGCGGTACAAGGATGACGAGCGCATCGTGCACCTGTCCAAGGCGGTCAAGGAGTACAACCGGCAGCTGCGCTACGTCAACCTGCGCGACCACCAGGTGCAGTATGGCAAAATGTCGACGCCCAAGGTCATCCTGACGCTCATCTACCGCATCGGCAAGCTGCTGACACTGCTCGTCGGCGTGCTGCCGGGCCTCATTCTCTTCGCGCCCGTCTTCATTGCGGCCAAGGTCATCTCCATTCGCAAGGCTAAGCAGGCGCTCGCCGGATCGACGGTCAAGATCCAGGGCCGCGACGTCATGGCGACGTGGAAGCTGATGGTCGCCATCTTCTTCGCACCGACGCTGTACAACTTTTACTCGGCCGTCGTCACGTGGCGCGTCTACGTCGACCACCTCTGGGGCACGGTGCCGGCGTGGGTGCCGTGGTGGACAGCGTACCTCGTCATGTGGCCGCTCATGGTGGGCATCAGCTTCGCGGCGCTACGCTTTGGCGAGGTGGGCATGGATATTTTCAAGTCGCTGCGGCCGCTCGTGCTGTGCCTCAACCCGGCGTCGAGCTACAACATTCACCACCTGCGCGAACGGCGCGCGCAGCTCAGCACGGAGGTCACGGACGTCATCAACACGCTGGGGCCCGACATGTTTCCCGACTTTGACAAGACGCGGCTCGTGGCAGACTCGCAGGGCAGCAGCCGAGGCACGGCAGCCACAGCAGACGGCCGGCCCTCGACGCCGCCATATCAGCAGCAGCAGCAGCCGCCGTATGGTCAGCGACGCGACAGCGATGCGTCAAGCAATTACGATGCGCAGACACCGCCATCGCTCGGACGGCGCAACACAACCATGTCGAGCCGCGGGCTGCCGCGCAACGAGTCGTTCAGCAACATTGGCGGCGTGGGCATCTTCTCGACGCGGGCCGCCGTCGCGGTCGAGAAGCCGCAGCCGCAGCAGCAGCAGCGGCGGTGGCTTCGGCTCGGGCGGGTTCCCTGTCAGCGGGTTCACGACGCTCGATTCGCAGGGTGGGTTCGAGGTGGCGAGCAAGAAGATTCGCGAGGCGATGAAGTTGCGCAGGCGGAAGAGCGGCGACGTCAGGAAGATTGAGATTGGCGACGACAGCAGCGAGGAAGACGAGGACGACGAGTACACGGAGGCGAGGAAGAAGACGTAGATGTACATTGTCTTGGGTACCTAGATGTGGATTCTCTACACCGTGGGGACGGCCCCAGGGGCAGAGGGTTAATGGGGGGGGCCGCGGTATGTGGGGGAGAATCGGAGAATCAAGCGTAGAGGATGTCGTTTGAGATGAGACGAGACGATTCCCGTTGTGTGTCGCGGGCGCGAGGCTAGGCGTTCGGCACGTCGATTCGGCAGAGGGGTGTACTGCATGAGGCAGTTGATTAATGACAAGTTCCATCCATTCCTAATTCCGTTGTGTAGCCTATTTCGCGTTCCGCCCTTGTCTACCTAGGTACATGTAG